CAGGTGTCTACTTATGCCTACTGATGATTGTTTTGTTGAGTGTCATTGTATTGTTTTGTGTATTATAGTATATGACTAAAAAGTCAATGAAATGATTGATTATTAAATATCATATATTTAAATTTGAACACCCAAGCGAAATGCCTTTTTTTAAAAGCAAAATGTACATTTCAAAGACAGACTATTAGAAATAAAAAATTGTAATCATATATTAAAAAGTGAAAGTTGAGTCCAAAAGCTCCAATATCAGATCAGGTACAGAAACCAGTTGTACCCAATAATCAGGCAAAAACTAATCAACTTCTTAGGTAAGATTTTTCTAATCACACAAAAATATATGTCATTATCCCACACAGCTTCACAAGGTAAATCTCCTTGATACAGATCTCATAGATGAAGAGATCAAAAGAAAATATTTGCGTTAAGCCTACTCTACCACATAGCCAGACTAAATGATAGGAGCAGCAAAATAAAAGAGAAGTATAGTCCACTATACAGCCATGGTACATTTATACAATGGAATAGTAGTTGGCCATAAAAAAGAAGAAAAACTTTTTACTTTTTGTGACAGCATGAATGTACCTGGGGAACATTATGCTAAGTGAAATAAGCCAGTTGGAGAGGGACAAGTATCATATGATTTCACTTGTAAGTGGAATCTAATCAAACTGCACTAACCGGGAAAATAGAAACAGCCTCATAGAGAGCAGTATGACCGTGCTGGTGGGGTGAGGACTGAGGGTTCCAATAAAAGAAAAAAAAAAGAAAGCAATAACTCATGGACACTGAAACAGCATGGTGATTGCGGGGTGGGGCTATGGAGGTGGAAGAGGGTATGGGGTGATAAATGGTATTGGGAAAATACAATAAAATAATGTAAAAATATAACTACAAAAAAGAGAAGTATAAAAGGCAAAGAGAGATAACATTCATCATCTATATGATTTCTGCATATTACAATGCTGAATAACCTAAAAAAATCAGCAGCTTCCAAAACATTCACCTCAGTCCCTCCCTGTAAAAAGTAAATTTTCAAAGAAGAATTTACATGAGCCTAAGTTGGATTGTTGAAGAGAAGGAATAGATCGCATGATTTTTCTATGACAGCTCATCAGCTGTTCTGGGCACTGCCCATCTTGTGCTCTGACTTCATCATTTGACAGTAAGGTTGATACGTGACTTATTCCAAGCTCTGCAAGGGTTGCTTGCAATAACTAAAACCTATCCACAGATTGCTGGGTTGTTGCATTTCTAGGGAAGCCTTCAGTCTTGAGAAAGGAGCCAAAAAGAAAGAAGCCCCATGAGTGAGGAGGACAGAGGAGAACATCACCAGAAAATAAAGGAGGGTCGCGCAGAGATGTGCCAGTTTCTGTTACAGCCCTAAAAGCCCAGGCAGGGCTCTAGTCTAAGGCACCCCCTCTGGTCCTCTTCGGGGTACTCAGGGACTTGAGGACCTTGGCATGAAGAGTACGATGTTGGATCCCAGAGGGATGATTTCCGGGGCATGAGAGATGCAGAGTGAGGATGGTGAGCCAGGACCAGCATCCACGTTCTCCCCTACGAAGCTGACCTGAAGGTGGGAAAGTGGGTGGGAAAAGCCGTTGATCCCAGAAGCCTCTGGCAAAGATAACCGGAAGTCCCGCCCCTGACTTCCTTTTCTAGTCTGTGGCGGTTGAGACAACTTCTCTTCGAGGCGCAGCATATTTTCCACTGCTTCGGGAAGGGCTCAAGAGGTCACCGGGTGTCAGGTGAGACTTTAAAGAAGGACTAAGGGCAGCACCCACCATAGAAGAGGGGAAGCCCCATGAGATACGAGTTCCAGACCGCTCCTTGGGAAGACCCTTTCGGGACCCGGAAATGGCGTACCCCAGACTTCCTTCTTGCCAAGTAGCTGTGCACGCGGTTGGGGGTGGGGAGGTTGTGGTGGGAGTATGGCGCCAAGAAAGGATGCCGTTTGGGGGTTGTTGGGATTGGTAATAACCTTGGAGCACCAGTTATCATGAAAAGGCCCTCGTGCGAGGACATAGAGTTAAGGGATGACCCTCAAGACATAGTGGTGGCCTCTGTGAGACTGGACCCCTTCCTCTGCCGTGCGAGACCTTTTTGAAAATAGACCTTTTTTTCTGGAGTGGCTTTAGGTGTCAGAAGCTGAGGACTGAGGACTGAGCAGTAGCCAAAGTGAAGACCTTGAGTGATGGCTAAGTAAACACCTGTCCCATAAGTCAGGACCCCAAATAATTCTGCTGAGCCCTGCCGTCATCCCCGGGAGGCCCTGGGGAGAACTGAGTAGCAGAGATACCACCTTAAGTTCCTGCTCCTTGTCCTGTGGGTGAAGATGAATCTTCTATGGAAGTGATGTCTGATCTCAGTACCTATAATTAGTCATGGGAAGGACCCTAAAGGAGGTGATGGGGACACCCACGCTAGAACAGAATGTACTCAACAGAGCCCTGTCCTGCTGTCACGCGTTGGGGAACTGTCGATGCGACACCCCATTAATTCATATTTAGTAGTCCCCGGATGGAAGTATATAGCACAAGGGAATGATTGATTGTAGGTTAGCAGAGGGCAAGCATCTCATATAATATCAAGTTTCAAGGTGTAGACCTTGTATGAGCAAAGAGCGGACCATCCACTTGAGGAAACAGGGGCCTCCATGGTATCCACCTTGCCCCTGTAGTCATTCTTGGGAGGTTTCAGACAATGGTGGTAGCAGGGTTTTTGTGGGGGAGGGGGGTTGCAGTTTACAATTTAACTAAGCAATACGTGTTTTCAATATCAAAATATTTTTGTATTTCCTGATTATGAGGAAAAATACATGCTTGTAAGAAACACTTTAAACTATACAGCTATGAATAACCTAGATAGAAAGAGAACATTCTCCAAAACCCCCCTCCTCCAAAGATCACCAGAGTAAATATTTTGCTGTATATTCTTCCAGAATTTTCTCTCTGCATATCCATTGTTGTTAAAATAAAAGAATACATATTGCAGCTCTTTCATTGAAGTATAATTCACATATGACACCGCAGTTTTTGGTTGTGAAAACTTTGAGACAACATAATGGTCCATCAGTTAGCAAATGGTAAATTAAATTATAGGACACATGTACAGTGGTGTACCTTGCAGCTACTAAGAGATAGATCTATAGCCAATGACAGTGACAGATACCTACAGTATATTGTTAAGTGAGAAACACAAGTTGCAGAACAGTACATAGCATTCCAAAGCTTAAGCATTTCTTCACCATTTTCTCTCCTCTTTAGTTACTTATATTTGGGTGAATGTGCAGCTGCCAGATCAGCATGTAAGAGGCCCTGGATACTCATTCTCTGGGAAGTTTCTCTGCCATTTAGTGGGCCACTTGCTGTGGACCAGCTCTGACCCACTAGCACCCTCCAGTGAAATTCTTGACTACTGTGAGGCTGGCCCTGGGGACCAGCTTCAGCAGGACCACATTCTCCAGTGAAGACTCCCTATACACCAGCTCAGGCCTGAGACCTCTGGCACATTTTTCATCACCACCACCACCCTGAATGGAAAGAGTCAGACATACAGATTCTGTCCTATCTGGCAGAAGCTGAAATGACTTTCTTTACTCCTTCAGTGGAAAAAATAAAATTGGGGATCCATTTGAATCTTCATTTTAACATTGCTTATTTCCAATGCGTTTGTGCTACATGACTCCCATTTTTGAACCAGTTAAAACATTGCCTGTTTTTCTCATGAATTAAAAAATCTCTAGCTTATATTTACTTTTATATCTGTGTAACAGTCAGTATGTTTTGGTTTTCTGAAAGTATTTTTTAACAATATTAAGAAAGTATGCCCAGCAGTTCTTATGCTGCTGTAACAAATTAACACAAATTTAGTGGCTTACAAAACAGAAGTCCAAAATTAGTCTTGGGCTCAAATTGACACATCTGCATGGCAGCTTCCTTCTGGAGGCTCCAGGAGAGAATCTGTTCCTTGTCACTTTCAGCTTCCAATGGCTACTGGTATCCCATGGCTGCGGCAGCATCATTATAATCTCTGTTTCCATCATTACATTGCTCTCACTTCTCACTCAGTCCTCCAGTGTCCTTCTTTTTTCTTTCTTTCTTTATTTCAATTACAGTTTACATTCAGTATTATTTTGTATTATTTTCAGGTGTACTGCACAGTGCTTGCACAATTATATATTGTACTTTACAAAGTGTCCCCCCTGATATTTCCAGTACTGGCACCTTACATAGTTATCACAATACTACTAACTACATTCCCTATGCTATACTTTATATTTCCATGACAGTTTTATAACTACCAAGCTGTATTTCTCAATCCCTTCTATTATTCCCTCTGTCCCCCAGGGTGCCTGTCCTATGGCAACCATCACTCTGGCTGTATCAGTGAGTCTGTGTTTTGTTTGTTTGTGTGGATGACTATTGGTCTTAATACCTCACTTCATATACTGGGGTCTAGGAAGATGGCAGTTTTGAACTGAAGCAGCCAGGCTGAGAGCAGCAGTGGATAGAGTGTATAGCCAGTGCAGGATTACATAGGGAGACAGAGAAATGACCGAAAGGACGTGTGACTTGATCCTGGGAACACAGCCTTATTTAGCATGGGGGAGATGGCACAGAACCTATGAATACCTCGATAATGAGCCTGAGTGGGCACTGAAGGGACCTCTCTCCTCAAAACACAAATGGCTCTATCAGGCACGGCCACACCTGCCTAACCTGCCTACTGTCATCCTTAAGAATTCTCAGCCTGTCTTGGCCAGCTGCACTTGAAGAGAATTGAGCACTTCTCCTCCTTGTGCTAGGGGGACAGAGCAACCTGGAGGTCAGGTGTAGGCCTGCTGTCTGGAGAGGTCCATCGCAGGTGGCTTTTATTAGAGCCACCACCATTGAGCTTAACAGTTGAGGTCACTCACATCTTTCTTCTTTCCCTTAGGCAGTGATTCCCCATTGCTTTCCTGTTCACACTCCTGATCGCTACCACCTACAAGACTCGTCATGGCTTTTCATCAGAAGAATCCACAGCGCTCACCCAACCAGCCCCTTCAGAGCCGCAGCAAGAGGGCCTGTCTCTCCCCCTACCCTCCCATGCCTGGCAGTTTGAAGGAGGCTCCTGCTGCTGTTATCCCCAGTACTCCTGAGAGTCCTCAGAGTTTCTGCTCCTCCTCAATGGCCACCATGGCCATCCTATCAAGTAAATCTGGTGAGGGATCCGGTAGCCAAGGGGAAGGGGTTAGCACCTTAGAGGCAATTTCAGGCCCCAAGAATGTGCCCGTAGATGCTCTAGATGAAAGGGCAGCTTGGTTGGTGGATTTTCTGCTGTTCAAGTATGAAAAGAAAGGAGCAATAACCAAGGCAGAAATGTTGAAGATTGTCAACAAGCTGTACCAAGACCACTTCACTGATATCTTAGCGAGAGCCTCTGAGCGCATGGAGGTAATCTTTGGCCTTGATGTGAAGGAAGTGGATCCCATCCAGCACCGCTATGCCATCTTCATCAAATTGGGCCTCACCTATGATGGGATGCTGCATGGTGTAAAGGGCGTGCCCAAGACCGGTGTCCTGATACTTCTCCTGGGGGCCATCTTCATGAATGGCAACCGTGCCACTGAAGAGGAAATCTGGGAAATTCTGAGTGTGATGAAGTTATATCCTGGGAAGAAGCACTACATCTTTGGAGATCCCACGAGTCTCATCACCAGACATTTCGTGGAAGAGAATTACCTGACGTACCGGCAGGCGACCAACAGTTATACTGCACAACGTGAATACCTGTGGGGCCAGCGAGCGCGTGCTGAAACCACCAAGATGCAAGTCCTAAAGTTTCTGGCCAAGGTTCATGGGTCTGACCCACGTTCTTTCACATCTCTGTATGAGGAGGCGTTTGAGGAAGAACAAGCAAGATCTCAGGTCAAAATTGCCACTGCAGCTATCAATAATCCTGACCATTGCTAGTTCTAAGGCCAAGGCTGCCAGCTCCTCCTAAGTCTGTGTAAGTCAGCAATAGTTTCCCCATGCATTGTTTGAATAGGCAGTTCATGTTCATAGAATTTAGTTCAGCAATGGTTCTGAAAGGAACACAGTATATGCCTGTGTTTCTCTTTGATATGTGTAACTTGAAAATCTGTTCTTTTGTTTGGTAATATGTATTATTCAATTTACTGTTTTTTAGTATAGATTTAATTAGCTTTGAAATCTCTGAGTTTATGAGGGATATTGGTCACACATTTAATGCTCTAAAGAGGTTTCATAGTAAGAACTTGTACTACTAAAATTGTGTGACCATCCATCTCATGTTGTCACCTAGTATAAGAAAACATTACATTGCTATAGGAATTTACTGGAAATGTAAATTAAATCAGTTTTAAGGTATTTGGGTTTAAGTAAAAGAATGTCCATTTTTTCCTTTCTTTTATGTTATATGCCTTTTATGTTTGTTTTATAAAATTAAATGATAAATGCTTGAATTTGCTTCTTTGTGTATTTATAAGAAATACATCTCAGTAAATGAGATCCTGTGCACACTGTTTCTTTTATTCCCCCTGCTTTATTAAATTTTTTGGTTTGGGGAAATCACCACATTAATACTCGACTTTCTAGGATAAAGAAGGCCTAGGATCTGTCCTGATAATTTTTACTTGCCTGATCAACAATTCTATAACATTGGGGTATCTTCTAATGTTTACCTTCAGGGCAAGTGAACTAAGGAGATAGCAAGTGAGTGGAGATGTCTTATGTGAAACTGTCAAGCATAAGTGCCCTAGAACAAGGAAAGTTGGGAAAGGGGAATTGGGAAAGCTGGGATTCCTTTAATGAGAGTTAATTTTAAATTAAATGTTAGATATAGGGAAAAAAGAGGCTTGGTTTGGGGATCAAAGATCAGACCTACAGATGGTGTGTTGTGGAGCTGAGACTTGAAAACCTGGAGGGAAAAATTGTTCTTCACATTTAACTTTGGGGTCATGGTTAGAAATCTCCATCGAGGCAAAAATGGAAGTTCTGTGGTCTTGTCTCTGTGCTATTACAAACAGTCTTTTATGCACCAGGGAGTTTTTGAGAGACAACCATGATGTTTTTCTGATAGGAGATACCCAAAACCACTTTTTTTAGTATTTGTTGTCCTCTGGGAAAGCCAAAGACAACTTCATTTCAGGATATTCTACATGGTTTTTTTTTTTTTGGTGTAATTTGGCATAGTCTTAAGAAATGCTTATCATTTTGATGAATGTAAAATTGACAGGGGTGGTTTGAATAGAACAGAAAAATAAGGTGAAGTATTTGTTCTCATCAGAAATTCTAGGAATTTTAAGTTGCATCAGCTGGAGAAGAAATTTCCTCACCCATTATTAAAGAACACAACTTCAGTGTATATATTTACTGTGGTTTACTTGCTAAGTAGCATTTTGGTTGATCTGATATCCCATACCCTATGGTACCTCATGATCTCTGAGACATACTGGATTTTTAAAAATCACCTAGGTGAAGGCGGTGGGTTCAGTGATTAGAATCATTGCAGTAATAACTGCCATTCATTAAAAAACCTAAGGTATGCCACGAATCATGCCAGCTGCTTTACATACATTGCACTCTTTCCAACGGTAAGTTATGGCTGGGGTTATCAAACTCAGTCCTCAGATAAAGGGTCTAAGTCACATAGCTTGGGGATGTGCCCAAGTTCACAGGTCCGGTTATGTGACAGAGCTGAGGTTAAACTTCTGGTGTGAATTCTAGAGCTCACTCCATTCCATTCCTCCAGCCTGAGGCCTATCTTCTGTCTCTTGATTCAATTCTCACTACACCTTTATGCCTCTTGGGATTAAAAAAAAAAGGGGGCGCTGGCTGGTGTGGCTCAGTGGATTGAGAGCTGGCTAACAAACCAAAAGGTTACAACCTGTTGGATTCCCAGTCAGAGCACATGCCTGGGTTGCGTGTGGGTCAGTTCCCCAGTTGAAGGCCTGTGAGAGGCTACCACACATTGATGTTTCTCTCCCTCTCTCCCCCCCACTTCTCTTTAAAAATAAATAAATGAAATCTTAAAAGAAAAAAAGGACCTCAAACTCAAAGTGCTAAAAGCACACATACACAAGGTGAAAATGATAATCAGATGCAATTCAGGTAGTGTCTGTGAACTTAATTTGCTAAGAATCTTGCTGCCCTTAACCCCAGAGAGTTGGATTTGCCCAGAAGCTGGCATTTTTGTCCAATTCCAGCTGTTTTGTGTGTGGAGGTCTATAATATCACTCAGAATAAGCCATTTTGGCATATTGAGTATTATGAACTCAAAGTACTTGAGAAACGATTAATGTAGAAGGGACAAAGCTGATACTGCATATATTCTTGGTGCAAAAAATCGAGAAATATAAACAGGTCACATTCTCCACCTGTATAATATTCCTTCATTATTCAGCCACATTCTCCGAGATTGTCACAATTATCTTATACCTAAGTCTAGGCTTTCCCATACATAGATGTATTGAGAAAAATGTATTGTGATTTGCAAACATAATGGGTAGTGATATACAGATTCTGCCATCTATCTTTCCCATTTAACATGAATGCAGGATCTTTCTATGCCAAAACATATAGATATGCTTCACTTCTGTAACTGCTCCCATTGCACATATGTGCCGTAACTAATTTAACCATCTCCTTCAGCTGGGCATATAACTTGTTTCCCATTTGTTGCTATGACTTATAGAACTGAAATATTTTTAACATGGTTTACTGGAACAAGGTCTACTGTTGATCATGATAGCAAGGAAGAAATTGGGTTAAAGTGGAGAATGTATGAAGATTGTAAATTTTAAAAAATATTGCCAAACTTTTATCCCAAAATTTCTTCTAATTCATATTTTAACAAATTAATACATGTGAATCCCATAAACATTCACACATATATCATTTTAAAAATCCAAAGTACTTAATTTGAGAAGCAAAGATTTGATTAAAATGACTAGTAGGCAGGGAATGCAATTTATACTTATTTGAGGGATGAAGATTTGGGAAAAGAGCAGTGTTCAGGGTCCATGAGAGGAACTACATGTAAATCCAAGTACAAAGAACCAAGAACAGGCTGGTAGTCTGTTCTTGAAGTTCCGAATCCAGAGCTCAGTGTAGAATGGAGAAAGGAGGAGAAGGAATGAAAGTGGGGAATCTGGATGGAGTGTCCAGGACAACTCACAGGAACAAAGTTGGGAAGTCTCTGAATGAATCATCAGTAACAGAAATTGTATGGTTATCTGAGTGAGGAGGTTCACTTGAAATGTGCACCATCCCATAGAATTCCCCTACCTACTGATAGATCAAGTATAGCTGTCTCTCTTGCATCATCCAGTAATGTTACTGGTTGACTCTGGGGAAGCTATGAGTCTCGACCATTCTTACAGACCTTTGCCAATGTATCAGTGCTGGGATCTGTCTTTATTCCTGCTGGCAATGGGTGTTTTTTTCCTCCATGTACACTGGGTCCTCTGCACTGAGTTCTGGATGTTAAAATGAATGTTAATGAGTGATGACAGATTGTTGAGACAGGCCAGAAGTACTGATGAGCAGTGGGAGATGGCATGCAACTACAAGATGAACATTTGAAGGGGGATGCCCTAGTACTAATTTCCCAGCTGATGCTCAGATAAAGGGCTAGACATGTCTTATAAAATAATCCAGGTGGTTTCCCCAACACAGACTGCTTTTCATGGTTTCTGAATTTATGGCACACCACAGAGTGGGTATCTTCTGATTGTAATCACTGGTCTACTGCCTGGGGGAGAGGGTTAGGCTAAGGTGCATAGATTTGCAGATTTGATTCAGAACAGTAGAAATTGTACTCTTTCTTTTTTAATGGACTGGGGGTGAAGGGAATGTGAAGAGTCCAATGCAGGAAACATCATGAACTATCCTATTATGAGCAATCTTACCTTCAAGACAGTGTTTCAGCCTGGGAACATCCCAGGCTGCTCAAATACTTATTAATATCACTTATAATGCAGGCAAATTTTTTTCTTTTAATTAATTAGTTTATTTCTGGTGCTCATTAAGACATCAGATCATTTTAATTCTCATATTTATCTGAAACATGATTTCAGTTGCTAATTGCCATGTTTAGGAAGGAAATTTTGAAAGTCATAATAGATTCAACATGAACTATTATTAGTTGATAATCCCGGAACTCCCATAACCAGCTCTGAGAATTTAAGGAAAGAACTAAGTTTAATTATGTCCAATGCCACAAAGACATTGAACACACCTGTTCCACTAAACTAGTATTTCATGCAGTAGTAGTGAGAAGTAGATGAGAAGGAAAACTGTTCAAGAAGTAGGAAAAAATGGAATCTCTATTTCTCTCTTACAAGAATGATGTTTTTAACCACCGGTGTAACTCAGTGGATCGATTGAGTGCGGGCTGTGAAACAAAGTGTCGCAGGTTCCATTCCCAGGCAGGACACATGCCTGGGTTGCGGGGCAGGTCCCCAGTAGAGGAGGTGCATGAGAAGCAACCGCACAATGATGTTTCTCCTTCCCTTCCATTCTCTATAAAAATAAATAAATACTTTTTTTAAAAAATAAAAGAAAAAGAATGATGTTTTTCTTTTAACTACTGGGCTTCTGTATAAATTTTGCTTTAAAAATAAAATACAACAGTTGAATTTTAGAAAAAAATGATATCAGAAAGCCACTGAATAACATGATCGCTATGTTTTTCTAGGGCCAATATTTTATATTTCCGTTAGTGGCACATACCTACAGACGTACATTTTTAATTATAATAATTGCTCTTTAAGATTCTTTTCCTAAATGCTAAGAAGTTGAAAGGGTAAGTAAGAATGACATCCTATGACTTAGGTGTTAGTGGTTGGTGATGCAGACTGTGAAAGAATTCACAAAGAGAAGAAAGTGTGAAGTTTTTATTCACTCTTTAAGAAAGGAGAGGGCCATGGTGTGGAGAGGTACACCAGCAT